TCACGTCCTCTTCATTTATAACGATACAGGTAAAACCAGACGGCATCCTCGACCAGTGTCCATTATATTAATCCGTCCATTACGAATTCCATCGTTCCGAATCAATTCCGCAGGAAGGACACGGCATGCTCTCGCGTAATTACGGAAAACCTAAAACAGCAAAATACTCATGGATTCAATATCGATTCGAATTATGAATAAAATTCATGTAGATATCAGTGTAATACTCAGTTTGGAACATCCGAGAAGCATAGCGACACGGCACGCATACATAAGCTTTCTATTGTGTAATAAAACTACGTTTGCATATACGTATGTATGTATGCATGCATGTTGAACTAAATTAAGGTTTCGCTTATTTCGCATTGGTAAAGTCGTGCGACAAAGGGAACCGACAAAAAATGGGTTAAGGACGAGATATTTAACGCGACGTCTCTCGTTTTTTTTCTTTCTTATCGGGACAGTATTCGGTGAACGCGTTCGCGAAATCCAGTGGTTTTCGGTGACACGACGAAAGAGTATAACTCGCGGAACTGCACATTAAACACGGGGACAATTAAATGGCCCCTTCGTCGTTTCCCGTTGGTAACTTATCCCCCAAGTTTCCGAACTTAGTTGCGCAAACAACTTTAATTAAATATCTAGCAGCGTTGCACGCGTGTGTGCGTCGATGAACTACAGAGACGAAGTAAGTAGAAGTGGAAAAAGGGGGAAGCTGCGGTAGATGCTGAGGCAACGATTGAATGGAAATGACTAGAAATCAGGAAACAGAATAGTAGGATGAAAAAGGAATAAGATTTCCAATACATAATTATAATAGAAAGGTTGAGTCTCTGTACAAGATTCGAAATCTCGCTAGGTCAGGTATACTAGATTAATTTACTTTAGTACAGGCACAATATTCATGTTCATTCTAAATTGTTTCTTCAGTGGAATCATTGCAATTACAACGGTAACAAAATGACTAACTTCTATGTAATGAATAATATGGCATGCTCTTTGTGATGTCTCTTCTACAATGGGTCGTTATAATATGCAGAAATGAAAATGAATAATGGACACATATGGATCATACTGCGTTCAATGTACACAGGCCAACGCCGACTGAACTATTTTCTAATTGTGTGCGTTACCGTATTGACATGTACAGGCAGTGACAGTGAATACAATTTTGAAGGGAACCGAACTGAACATGTAAAAACATTTTTCATATAAATTCGATAAACTTTGACAGATGTTTGTATGTATTTAAAGAATGAAATCAAGGTTTCTGTTCGTTTAAAAAGATCTTAAACTACTTCGCGTGTATCACAATTTTCTTTTGGTCTTTTAAAGCAAAAACACTGCTTGAACAAAGTAAACTGTTATTTTGTTCATATCTTTAACACCATCTGTAGATTCTTTCGGGAGGGGGGAGCACGCCACCCTCCCGGCGCGCCCTTCTGTAGAGGTTTCCGTTAGTAATCGCGAGTGTGTGAGGACTCATACGAAACCGATTATTTTTTGTTCTGTGGATTTCGGTTATGGGACACGTTTACGCATGAGAAATCGCAAATACATACGTACATATATCGGAAGCGTATTTTAATTAAATGTATCTATATATAAATATGTGATTCTCAGGTGATTAAAGTAAGTGCAATTCTTTAGAAACATATCGAATTTATTACAATATTATAATTCATACTAACAAGAATCAGAATCATCGTTCGTCATCTATTCGAGCACGAACGTGCATTAAATTGTAAACGAAGAATCTCCTTAAAAAAATTATAACGAAATTCGAAAGCGCCATTGATACAAAAACGAGTATCGACTTTGACCATCCACCGTCACTCACCTTTGCTGGTACGTTCCTTTTAATCTGCGCTCGTGCTGTACTGTTCCTCCGCCTTCAGGGGTTTCCGCATAGCAATGGAAATAGAAGGGAAGAGAAAGGAGAGAGAGAGAGAGAAGAAAGACAGAGAAAGGAAGAAGAAAAGAAAAAAAGATCTGTGCGGAATCGCGGGCGTCGAGTACGCGGAACGCATTACACGATCATCGCGTACGGAAAGCCCAGATCAATTACATAATGGCGCGACTGAAACGGATGCTCTTCAACCACCACCCCCTTAGCCCCGTACCACCGCCGAAAGCGTCCCCGGTGCAGCCCCTTTCGCAAAGTGACTATAGAACAAAAGGGTTGAGCCTCTTCTCTGCGGGCGTAGTAATTATTATGCTCTTTGACAATCCCTCTGTCTGTCAAAGGTAACGCCAACGGAATCGATACTTCTAAAACTTTAATCGTTTCACGTATGAATGACATGCTTTCGCGTTAAGCCGCATGTAAAAATATTTCGTCCCCTGAGGGTGGTGCACGGGGAGGTGGTTGATCTCGGAGGTGTCGAGGTATGGAGGGTGCGATTTCACATCGATCATTTTTCTTTGCCACGGACCGATGGATTACCAAAGGGTGAAAATTTCGAGTGATGGAATAGAGTTTTGATTTTGGTAAAATAGCTGACTCGCTCCTATCTGTTACGTAAACAGTCTCAAGGATACGTACATTTATATGTTTTTTGTCAGGAATCGAACAAGTATAATAAGAAAAATAGAATTGTTTTATTGTTTGATGATTTTGATCTATGCCAACAAGCCATATGCACGTTATGCACCAATACTGAACAAGAGTCGAGGAGTGCAGAAGATATATACAGAATCACGGTGTTACCAAAAGTTAAACACTTTCTTGGATCGCTACGCTAGTGAAAAATGATAAGACGCGATCGAGGACGAGTCGCGCGTCGCTCAGTGGGATCTCATTATCCAACGTGGAAAGACGAGATCGTCTCCGTGAAACTCCTTTTTCGCCTGGAAGCAAGGAGGACCTCTCGGTTTCGCGATACGGGAACGCTTTCCTCGTTAGTCTTAATTTTCTTCTGCGGACCGACATAGGCGACGGCACTTCATATCGCGAACGCCAGTATGCTTCCGTGGGTGGCGTTAATGACACCGTGGATACACACGCGATGAATAAAATCGTAATAATGAGTGCCGACTGTTGTTCGCGTCGGATCCCTTAATTTTCCTGCCTAATGTTTGGATTAATTTTCCGTTCGTCTTTTTCGTGGTGCCGCGTTATTTACTTTTGTTGAAATAAAACAAAGAATGTAGGCCGCTGTCTCACGTTTGAATGCGAAATCTCTTTTAAAGCTGTACCGCGACAGGTTCGGCACCACAAACGTATATGTATTACACGAGTACAATACAATGTTTGGAGATGCACAATTACGATATTTGTATGTACGTACATACATAATCCTGTCCCAGTAGAATATTGTTAGTTATAAGTATTAAACTGTGTATTCGACTTGAAATAAGGCAAGTGTCTTTACATTATTTTATATTAAAAAACAGCCTAATGACATTTATACGAAATGATTACGTATCGAAGTAAATTATTTGATTAGTTCAACAGATCTTTGATATGTACGTCGAACAAATATCCAACGATACGAGGCGAAAAGAACCGAAATGTCTGACATTTCAAATGCGTTCCTAATGGCAGATATCGCGTATCACCACTTATACGTGTGTCTAGTATGTACACAGACGTACACCAGAAATGCTGCTCTTGGCCCGAACAAAATCTCAACCCGCAGGAATGACAATAGACTGTCAGATAATGAATCCCCACTGTCACCCCCTTTACCAACCCACGTCCTAAAACCCACCCTCTGCTATACTTCCACTCTTTTCCTCTACTGCGTTTCATCTCCTCCCCCGCTCTCTCTCAACAGCGACGGCTTCGAAACCATCAGCTTTTCCTTGCCAAAGAACAAACTTTCAATGCTGCGGAAAATTTAATCGATTAAGACGATTACGAGATATATGCACGGAGCTAATTATTGATTGTACAAATTCTTTCAATGTTGGTTTAAAGAATTATAGAACTGTACATTTTTCATTTTAAAACAGTTTTATTAAAACATTGTTATACGATATGTAGATAAAATAATATAGCGGAAATGAGTTAATCAGTAATGAAAAAGATGTGATTCTTGCTTGAGTTTCAATTATATCCGTCGCTAACCCTCTAGCTTCTTATACTTTCCACCCTCTGCTCTTGTAACTTGTAGCAAACAGGACTATGACCGGGTAGGCGAGGCGTCCACTTAGCGCTAATGCCCCTTTTATTGGTCAAGATTCCAGTCAAAAGCTGATCTAGTGAATGGACGCTCAACTCGTTTTACCAAGCTTATTTTCTTTAAAAGTTAAATGAATCGTCCGATTAATTACATCCACTTATAAATATTAGGTACATTCAATACTTGAGAATATCATTTAATAATAAATGTAATTACAAATTGATTGAGATCAATTTACCATAGCTAGATGATGGACATTAGTAAAACGTACGAGTATATTATTATATTATAAGTTAAGAATATACTTTGATAATACTTTTAATTCAATCCTTCAAAGATATCATATCTCAAAATTCGCATTTGATATACGATTAATAATTAATTTCCGTTTGTTTCTTATTGCACGAAAGAGAATGTGCTCGTTCATTTACTTGTGTACGAGTTAACGGCCCTTTTTAATCAAAAGTATAATGTCTAATTAAATTTATTATGGTAAATGTACATCCTCCCATTTTTACGCTTTATTCTGGTTTTTATGAGAGCTCGGAAATGAATAGAGGAAAGTCCGGAAAGAGGAATCGGAATGTGAGGTGTAACGTATCGAACTGAATGTAGAGGCCAGGGAGAGAGAGCCGAAAAAATTCGCTTGGAATAACTCGAGGTAGAAAAAGTGAACAAAAAATATCCATAAAAATCCACCCGTGAATATAATCCGGATGAAGCTCAGCGTTGTACGAATAGCTGTCACCGATGAGAATGGTGAAAAAATATAGTATTGGTAGGTAAAAATGACGGCAATTGAAGAAAGGAAATTTTATGTCGCATGTCGTTTAAATATTTAAAAGTAATATATGTATATAAAAGGGCACACAGTTTCATGAAAAAAATATATTTATTTCATAGTACTTTTTCATACATGTATGACGGTTTAGAAATGCGATTTATAATTAGGACCTGGAATTTTTCTCACAACTCTAATTTCAGTCTCGATAGTGTTCGCGTCTACAGATTATTGCGTTGAACGAAATATAATTTGTTTCAAACTTAAAAGTGGTAACAGACGTTCGAAAGTATTCTGACGTCCATTAAATCGACAAGTTATTAAGGAAATTATTAATGTCCACAAAAATGCTGTAGAATTGTTTTATTACAAAATACTCCAGACAATATGCACTTACTGACGTGTTTACCGGTATACGTTTACAGAAAATTTGGAAGGTAACAATACTGCTTACATCATTGAGTTTTGATACTGGAAGAAGTTTTGCAAATAGTATGCCGGTTCAACTTGATTCTAATAATCAAGCTCAATTATTACTATATACGAAAACTCTGAATGCAAACAAAAAATATTCACGTGTTTTATTATCGATAAACGAGACTGGAATAATAAATGAAAACGTATAGTTTAGAAAAATATGAACATGGCCGTGTCTCCGTTAACATTAATATGTTTAAAAAATATTCACTTAAAAACTTGTATTGTGTTTAAAAATCAAATATCTGATACATTTCGAGAGATCTCAAGTTTTAACGATTGCGCATCAGTCTTAAGACTGTTTACTGATTAGTCATTAGCAGTAACTTAAGCTTTGTAGATCACATTGGTGTAGTATCTTTTATTTAACAGAAATAGTCCGTAGTTTAGGCATTTTCACTAACGGGCCTCTTCTTATTCTATAAAATAAATTCATTCTCATTGGTACATGTTATATTATACTACAATTAAGGTTGAATTATACCGATGTGATTCTCAGCTTACAGTTTGTTTAGATGGTTTAACATCCGTAGTAGAAGTACGAGGTTTGGACCTTTCTTGTTCCAACTGTGCATGCAGAGACGTCACTTCGGAAGTCAGTTCATCTCTTATTTCTTGTAACTTCGCCACTTCGGCTAATACCGACGCTTTATCTCTCACTGTAAATGAGTAATTAATAATTAACATTTGAAACTACGTGAAATTGTTATCAATAAAAGATTATTAGCTTACTTTCGCCGTGAGATAATATTTGATAGAGCTTTTTGTTCCTCTCCTTAACTTGAGTTAATTCTTCTTTCAAACTATCAACTTGATTCCTTAACTGGTTAATGATTTCGTCACGTTTCTCCACTTCTACTCTTAATTGAGCAGATGTAATATCATCATCAATTTTACTCAACCTTGCCTTCAACATATCCTTTTCTTTTCCCTTCGCAATTTCTTCCTTTGTTTCCTTTTCAATTCTTTCAAAAAACTCCGCATCTACTTCTATAAATTAATGATGTAATTAGTTTTGAAAAGTTTTACGGCAGAGTATTTTAAGAATATCGTTTCATTACCCTTTGGCTTGGTATCGTTATGTTCAGGAGTTGATACTGAATTCTGAACAGTGGCAACAGCAGTACTGGTAGCAATAGTGGTAGTAGCAGTAGTGGTAGTACTTGATCCCATGTTGTTGAACTCTTCCAGTGTCATAGTAGCCTTTTTCGATTTTTTCCCTGATTTCTTATTCAACTCGGGTTCTTTTTCTGACTTTGCTGCGCTTACTAGCTGCTCTTCATAAGCCAATTTTGACAGCAAGATGGCTTGATGCAATTCTTGCTCAAACGTTTCCTCGACAGCCTTAAGGAAATCACAATTGGACGTGATAACACAGAACAGTTATAAATATGTCACTACTGAAACAAAATCTTTGCTTTAACAATTTGTATCTAAAGCCAAACTAAAATGTTCACACACATCAGTCAAGCCTGTGTTGTCCTTATTACGCGCAATTCATCGAGAGTCATTGTGCAAATAAGATCTTATTTCATTGAATTTACAAAGCCGATGGCAAGTAAATAATAATGTATCATATAATTTATGTATTACCATTGTATCTTTTTGCTTCCACTGTTCCCATTGTTGATTCTCATTATTACTGTTAATACTCTTTTTCTTTTTGTTCTGAAACATAAAAACGGAACAAATGCAAATTAAAGCAACCGATTTTCTTGCCGTGCGGCACTACTGCGATCGTATGTTTATTTCCGTTCACTTAATCGTAAAAATGAAGACATTTTCAAGATCACAGCAGCATCGCGCGGCAGTCATCGCGTCCATAGACATTAACATCAACGTTCTAATTGAATTCGAAATACATAAAGTTCCCGCCAGGATGTTTATAAATATAGTAATTTATACCGGCTAAACGAAAACAAAAAAAAAATAACAAAGACTACACGCCTCATACCTTATTCTGTTTTTTCTTATCATCCTTTTTCGGCTGCTGCTGCTGTTTAGATTTGTCATTCTTAGATTTTTGGTTCGTCTTGCTGGCAGTAGCGCTCTTCTGAGTTTTCTTCGGCTTACAATCATCATCGTCGATGCTAAGAACTGCGAACCTCGATGGGACGGCGGTCGCCATTTCTGTGAACTGTGAATACACGAATTGATAACAAAACTACAGAACTTCCGGTATAGTTACAGTTACGAAACTTCAGACATTCGTCATGTTTGTATTATTAAATCACGTACGATGCAAAAAACATTCTAACCTAATACAGATCACTTACATCTATGTACTTATCGTATACAGAGGGATGTATAACGAAAAATGACGAACGTCGTTAAGCTACGATATAAACCGGAAACGAATAATAAACGTATTGCGGAACATTAGCGCCTCTCGCGAGAAATATTGTCAAAATTACACCTATCCGCCCAGCGACACAGTAAAACCAACTTTTGAAACAAAAATCAGAGATCATGTGTTTGAAATATTAATTCTTTATCAAGTATAATGTATCTTTTATTTATCTCTTATATTTTTGTGCATTCTTTGGGAAAACGCTTTAACTATAACTAATATTGTAACGTGATCGTATTATCAATCTTGGAACATAACAAGGTAATTCAAATTGTGCATTTTAATCTGATTCTTATTATTATACACCTATTACTGCATATATTATCATACTATTATAAGTAATCTGACATTTTACTTTTATATCATTATTGTATATTTTCATAGAAATTATGGA